AAAACTCAGGCAGGGGTCCCTTTTTTCTTTTTCTGTTGTTTCTTTTTTAGCCAAACTCTCATGTGTCCTGCACCCGTAGAAATAGTTATTTTTAACCCTCAATTCACCCGAAACGAATTAAATGAACTAATTAAAATGAAACGTGGTTTATTTTGAGAAGCCAATGTTCCGAAAGTGCGTAGATCCCGGTAGTTCTTTGGTTTAAGATGAAACATCACATTCCAGCCATAAGAGCACGGCGGCCTCACAAATGGGGCCAACATTTACTTAACTTTCTAGAAGACGGTTTGAAGATTAAGAAGGAAGGGGAGGGGCGCCTGGGTGGCGCAGTCGGTTAAGCGTCCGACTTCAACCAGGTCACGATCTCACGGTCCGAGTTCGAGCCCCGCGTCGGGCTCTGGGCTGATGGCTCAGAGCCTGGAGCCTGTTTCCGATTCTGTGTCTCCCTCTCTCTCTGCCCCTCGCCCGTTCATGCTCTGTCTCTCTCTGTCCCAAAAATAAATAAACGTTGAAAAAAAAAAAAAACATTAAAAAAAAAAAAAAAAGAAGGAAGGGGGAAAAAAAGTTAGAGAGGGAGAGAGCCAAACCATAAGAGACTCTTAAAAACTGAGAATAAACTGAGGGTTGATGGGGGGTGGGAGGGAGGGGAGGGTGGGTGATGGGTATTGAGGAGGGCATCTGTTGGGATGAGCACTGGGTGTTGTATGGAAACCAATTTGACAATAAATTTCATATAAATAAATAAATAAATAAGAAGATTACTGTTTTGTCACTCAAAACGGTATGGTACTGGCTAAAAATATAGACACAGAGATCAGTGAAGATTATGCCACAGCTTAGAGAAATGGTGATATGGGTTTGTTTTCTCTTTTCTTATGTTTACGGAATTTGACTATGTCGGTTTTATAATTTCAAAAAACTGTTTACTAAAAATAAAATAGAGTGAATCTCTACTACAGCTAGAGTGAGTGGCATGGGTCTAGGTACAACCTTTCACATAAAATGACCAAGGAAGGTGACAAATCTGGAAAAAGCAGTGGGGCCAGCTAAATCACAAGATATATGAAAGGTACAGAATAAGGTGTCTCTCTTACGTCACCAAGCCATTCAGATAATTCGAGACTTTTGTAAGCATGAGGAAGTTGGTCCCCAAAATGTCATCTGCTATTTTGGTGAGAAAAGAAAGAGGGAGCAGGCAGTAGAGTGATTTTGTAAATCACTGATGAGAACGAGAACCTAGAGAGAATTGATACAGGTCAATATAGCTTCCCAGCCACTGCGTCCTTCCTGCCCACAAAAAGTCAACTGGCAGGATTGTATTAGGTCATCAATTCCCAGAGGACAGCTTGACTACATGAGTAAAAACTTGTATACCCTTTGACCCAAGAATTCCTCTTTAATCGGAGAAGTACACAAAAATGTTTGTACGAAGACGCTCATTTCGTTGTTCTTAAAATAGGAACAAAATGGACACACCCTAATTGGCCCACCAAAAAAAAGCTTAGTTAGATAATTCAGGAGTATCTGGATGATGGACTCTTACACTACCTTTAAAAAGGAATGTGCAGGGGCGCCTGGGTGGCTCAGTCAGTTAAGTGTCTGACTCTTGATTTCGACTCGGGTCGTGACGTCGAGGTTCATGGGATTGAGCACCACGCTGGGCTCTGTGCTGGACGCGGATCCCGCTTGGGATTCTCTCTCTCTCTCTCTCTCTCTCTCTCTCTCTCTCTCTCTCCCCCTCCCCAACATCAAAATAAATAAACTTAAATAAAAAGAAAAAGAAAGTGATATCAAAAAGAATCTCCATGATATATTATCGAGCAAAAACAAGCAGTTTATAAAATGGGATATGTGGTATGGTGTCATTTTCATTTAATTGTACAAACGATAGGAAGACATCTGGAAGAATGGTCTCCAGTCTATTGGCAGTGGATGTCTCTGGGTGGAGAATTTAGCAAGATGTTTACTTTGTTCCTTCTCCCGTCCTGTATAGCCTGAACATTCTAGAAGAGTCGGTGTGGCACTGGAAGGAGGCCTCTGGGACAGAGCCGCTGGGAAGTCCTGGGAAACCCCAGGATAATGACCATTGGAGGCCCCGTGGACGGATCTGAGGGTGGCAGAAAGGCTTAAACGATGTGGAAGCAAAGAGGGAGCCAAAGTGGTTTATGGCAAGAGAAAGAACGGTGACGAAGCAGAATTTCCGGGTGATTAGACTGAATTCTCTGGGAGGCTGCACGGGATTGTGTGTTCTATTATTATTCATAGAATTCCTGCCATCGTAGAACTCAGTGGGCCATTGGAACAGCCGGGCTAACTGGAATTTTTTTTTTTTTTTTTTTTTTTTTTTTTTTTTTTTTTTTTTTTTTTTCAGTTAGCGTGGGGGGCCTGTGCAGGGAAAGAAAATACCAAGCTAACTTTCTCAAGAAATAACACACAGCCTGTGGAGGCAGGACAGAAATTGTTCCATGCAACATATTAACTCATCGTGGCCCACGGGAGGCTGGAAACTATCTAGAATGCGGTGTGTTTGGCCCTATGAGATATTGTAAGTGTTTCTTTCCTAAAAAACAGGTGACCATCCCTGTGACCATAGTACTCAGCTTTGAAGTCCTCGTCAACCAAAGATGTGGGTAGTTATCTGTTAGAAAGTAGACTGGCTTAATGGTCTAAAAGGTTCCGGGTGGTAAATGAGAAGATTTAGGGGCCTAATTACTAGTTTGCCTGCTTGAATATTCTTCTTTACAGAGTAGCTGGAGCTAGAGACAGAAATCAGAACTATTCACTTTGGAAAGAATTTTCAATACTTCAATAACACAGTTTCTAGTACCTAAATTTTTTTTTAAAAAAAGGTACTCTGAAAATATTAGCAAAATGCTCATTAAAAGGAAACGATCTGCACAATTATTACCCTGAAGAGTTCCAAGTTAAATGTCTCGGGAAGTGACATCCTCCTTTCCAGAGGGCTTTCCTGTTTGATCATTTTAAAATTTAACTGCCAAAAGAAATGAAAAGTAAAACCATACAGCAGAAACAAGCTGCCACAAAGGATCCTCAAACATTGGGTCCATTTAGACATTTTAGAACATCTCAGTGAAAAGCAGCCATCTCTGCTCAAACCTAGTTAGAAAATGTTTGATGTTACAACACAGATTTTCTATCATGCACTTTGAGTTAACACAGAGATGCAACTTAATACAATAAGCATGGTTTCTCCCATTTGGGATTCTTAAAACATAAGAAACATAGCATGCTGGGCATTTACTTGGTTTGAATTAATAGCGATGTATATATAGAATATTATGAAGATCAAGTTATCCTCTGACCATTCGCTGCTTGAAATTTCCCCATTCAGCAGATTCTATACATTGCTAATGTTAAAAATGAGAGGGTTTTTTTGTGACCAAAAAAAAAAAAGTATTTGTGTAATCTTCAAAGTGTTTAATTTGTATTAAAGCTAAATCCAGAGGCTCTGAAACCTTAGGGGCTCTCGATGTGGATTTTTGTTCTGGTTCACACACCTTGAGACAAAGGCTCATAGTCAAGATGTGGAGGAAAAAGACGTTTTTTTGTGTGCGAGATGCGGGGCAAATTTATTCCCCGGGCAGCCTGGAATGAGCTTCAGAAAATGGATAGAGTGTCTTCTTGAAGAAAGGGCCTCTAAGTAAACTCGACTGCCATTCAAAAGATTTGCTCTGACACTTAACAAGTGGTGCAGGAAGAAAGGAAAATCTGTTGTCAGGTTTGGGGTGTTTATCAGCCCCCCTCGAGACACTTGACCTAATGCTGCGGCCCCCCTAATCCGCTGATCTGCATGCCGTGGTCTCGCGAGCCTCAGCCCGCAACTCCAGTAAAATTGCCTGGAACACTTGTCCCAACACATTGATCCCTCGGTATATTGTGTGCGGCTCACCTACCCCCCCCCCTCCTCTTGCGGCTCCCCCTAAATTTAATTCTGCTCACAAATTGTGAAATAAGTTGTTTGGGCTGGATTTGTCGAGTGAATTGTCCCACTAATGAAACAGTCTGTTCATTATACAGTTGTGGGACGGAAGATTTAGCGCTCCCATACCCCGGGCCCCGGGCAGGTTAACGTTTTTAGACTTGACAGTTTACAAAAGAATGAATAGGTCTCTCCTGTCACATCAGGCTTACAAACAGCTTGGCACACAAACAGTTACTGCTTGTGTGCATGTGGATTTAGGGTCCCCGCCTGCTAATGCCCCAGATTTGTAAGTACAAATTGGTTGGTCTTCAAACTGTTTGCGAAAGGAATAAAATGACCAAAAATTAGTTTGTTTTAGCCTTTTCCCCCTCCCCTCCCCGCTCTTGCAAGGGAAACATTTAAAAAAAAAAAAAAAAAAAAAAACAGAGAGAGAGAGAGAAGGAAAGGCTAAAATAGTATGTAGCAGGTCCTCAGGGAATATTGTGGCGTTTTTGCTTAAGGCATCAAATTAAGCAGGACCATTGTTTGGCAGAAAACATTTTGTTCTGCTGGGGCACCCTGCTTCTCAGAAGGCAGCTGAAAATCTAAGGGAATTAATTTAAGACGTGTGATTTTAAAAGATAGAGCAGGGAGAGTGGGGGGGGGAGATCAAAAACTTTTCATTTCTATTCATTTTAGTACCTGTTGCTTACAACTGGTTATAATACCTCCCTCCCTCCTTCTAACCGCATTGATCTTTTAAAATGGGTCATTTAGGTTTCTGAATCTTTTCATAGGCAATTATGTGTAAATTAGCTAAAACCCGTTTTATTTTTTCTATGGCAGTTTGAATTGTGTGGTGAGTTGGTTAAATTCTTGCCAAATCTTTGAGAGAGAATGCTGCATAGGAAGTCAGGTGAATAGTTTTATCATGTGATTTATCATCAGTTTGGCGATACTTTTTAGTCTGGATTGAGTTTAAACACTCTTTGGTTTATTATAGCTACAGCAGGATAGTTGATGAGAGTAGTAGATGTTTCCATCACTTTAGAGGAGAAACAAAGAAAAGTAACAGACTGTGCTCACTTCGACAGCATATATACTAAAATCGGAACGATACAGAAAAGCTTAGCATGTCCCCTGTGCAAGGATGACACACGCAAATTCTGGAAGCGTTCCATGTTAAAAAAAAAAAAAAAAAAGGTAACAAAGAATTTTTTCAGATTTCAGCTTGACCTAACATCTTTGAATTAAAGACTCTCTCCTTGATCAGATACAGCCCCAGGATGTTCAACCTCCTTACAGTACAAGGGGTTATTCTTTCATATTTCAGTAAGTTCATTAGCACATGTTTCCATGTACTGTAAAGGCAATTTGTAACAATCAGACTTTTTGGCAACTTTGCAAGCAGCAGTTACGAGCTAATTCAAACATCCCTTAAAACCTGTTCCCTTAGTGCCTAAATCTCACACTGAGAATCTGAAGCATTAAGAGTTCCCAGGCAGAAAGCATAATCGTAACTCATAACTGCGCAAAGTCAGTGATGGTTGGCTGTTGGAAATCTGAATAAAGCAAAAGCGTTGGAGACAAACGCGGGTCCGCCTCCACCCCGGATATGGTGCAATCATTTTGTACGAATTCATCCAAGCTTCCAGAATATACTGCACATGTGAGCCCTTAAGCCAAAATCGGTCACATTTGAAATCTGGAGACAGGAGTGGAAGAATAATTTACAAATAACTCAACAACCACAACAAACTACACTATGCGCACAGAGTAGAGCCAGTGCCCTTTTCTGGGTTTCCGTCTCTCCCACCTACTCCCCGAACTTGGCAAACACTTTCCTGTAATAACATCCATCCTAAGACTTTTTTTTTCCTACCTCATCACGCCGTTTTAGGACATTTCAAAGACAGAGGCCATGACTTGCGAAGAAAGTTGGGCTAAGGTAATACATACGTTGAGTGAAATATTTTTCGAGAAACATGGCATTTCTCCTTGAATTCTGAAATGCGGCGACTGCCTTCAGGGCAAAGCTTTCAGCAAATGCAGGAGTTGCAGTCATCGGTCACCTGTTGGGGCAGGCTTCTTAACAATCCCCTGGAACCCCAGGATGAGTGAGGTCAAAGTTGACCCAAGTGCCATGCAAAGCTTGAAGAAACATGAATAAATACTTACACAAAATATTTATTTATACCAATAAATACAAAAGGGCTCCTTTTGTCTTACTACTGATGAAACAAAAGATAGGAGCAGAAATATTTTTAAATAGCTAACGGTAAGCTAAAATATAAAGCCTTTCTGCTCTCAAAAGGAGACCCAGTGCTAAAAACAAATCTGCGTAATTAGCAGGGAGGGAGGGGTGTTTCGCGTAGGTCTCCGCTGAAGGTAAGGCGGTTGACCAGTATGTACAATCTTCAGCAAAGTGACTCCTCCAGGGGCTTCCCTGCCCCACCGTGAAATGGAAAGAACGTTATCTCATACTGTTGTTGGGTTGTATGGGTGGCACAGTCTTGGTGGCCTGGTCCAGCAATCAAAAAATATCAATAGGGGTGCCCGGGGGGCTCAGTCGGTTGAGTGTCCGATTTGGGCTCAGGTCATGATCTCGCGGTTGATAAGTTCAAGCCCCATGTCGGGCTCTGTGCTGACACCTCAGAGCCTGGAGTCTGCTTCGGATTCTGTGTCTGCCTCTCTTTCTGCCCCTCCCCCGCTCATGCTCTGTCTCTCTCTGTCTCAAAAATAAAATAAACATTAAAATTTTTTTAATATTAATAAAATATATATTACATATCTATACACATTTGTTGAGGTTTCTGAGCAATCCCAATGGCTGAAGTAGAAAAATACTAGGGTCCTGTGAGGCACCCAGAAGAGCCCATGGAAACTTAATAAGCCAACCTGACGGGTAGACCTCCCTCCAATGCTGTATTGCCGGGTAAGACTTAATCCATCAAATACCAGTCCTGGATGTCTATACGTCCTTCATTTCACAAATGAGGAAACCGAAGTTCAAATTCACAAAACCCAGCATCCTGACCACCAATCTAATAATGTTCTTCATAAATATTTATTTAAAAAGAAAATTCTGAGGGGCGCCTGGGTGGCTCGGTTGGTTGAGCATCTGACTTCAGCTCAGGTCATGATCTCACGGTTCCTGAGTTCAAACCCCGAGTCAGGCTCTGTGCTGACAGCTTGGAGCCTGGAGCCTGTTTCAGATTCTGTGTTTCCCTCTCTCTCGGCCCCTCCCCTGCTAGCTCTCTCTCTCTCTCTCTCTCTCAAAAATAAATAAATACTTTTTAAAAATTTAAAAAGAAAATGCCGAAGCACCTGGTGGCTCAGTCCGTTAAGCGTCCGACTCTTGATTTCGTCTCAGATCGTGATCTCAGGGTGCGTGGGTTCGAGCCCCGCATCCAGCTCTGTGCAGACGGGGCAGAGCCTGCTTGGGATTCTGTATCCCTCTCTCTTTGCCCCTGCCCTGCTTGCTCTCTCTCAAAGTAAATAAATAAACATTTGAAAAATAAATTAAAAAATGAAAAAAAAAATGCTGTAGGGGCTCCTGGGTGGCTCAGTCGTTTAAGCCTCCGACTTCGGCTCAGGTCATGATCTCGTAGTTCATGAGTTCAAGCCCTGCACAGGGCTCTGTGCTGACAGCTTGGAGCCTGGAGCCTGGTTCGGATTCTGTGTCTCCCTGTCTCTCTCTGCCCCTCCTCCTGAAGGGGGGACTCTGTCTCTGTCTCTGTCTCTCTCTCTCTCTCTCAAAAACTAAATAAGCATTAAATGTATATATATGTATGTGTGTATATATGAAGAAATGCTGTCAATGTTGTACCCTGATTTATCTTTTGGACTACAGGATTCCTACTTCGTTTGTATAAAATGGAACGTTTGGGTGAGTTCAGTGAATTTTCTGAATCAACACTCTTTGGTGGCTTTTTGCCTTTTAGGTGTGTTTGTGGATCTGTGAGAACTATTTTTAGAAATTAATTACGGCGTCTGTCTTTTCCTACTCAAATGCTAAGGTGGTGGTTATTGCTCTGTTACTTGCGAAGCCAAGTGAATAAAACAAATCTTTTTAAAAATCTTTTAAAAGTATAACATCAAGGGGCGCCTGGGTGGCGCAGTCGGTTAAGCATCCGACTTCAGCCAGGTCACGATCTCGCGGTCCGTGAGTTCGATCCCCGCGTCGGGCTCTGGGCTGATGGCTCAGAGCCTGGAGCCTGTTTCCGATTCTGTGTCTCCCTCTCTCTCTGCCCCTCCCCCGTTCATGCTCTGTCTCTCTCTGTCCCAAAAATAAATAAACGTTGAAAAAAAAATTTAAAAAAAAAAGTGTAACATCAAAAATACATTTCTCACACACAAAAAACGTATTGGCTTGAGAAAACAGTACCTGATCAAGGCCCAAGGGTAAAATGAATGGTGAAGAAAAATGCCAATTAAAACAGGTTGTATGAGAAATGCACTTGCTTTCCCTTACACAGGTTTTCCAAGACCCTAAGTTCCCCCAGAAACCTATAAAGCTTTTGGTTTTCTTCTCTAACACTCCCCCTCTGGGAAGGCTGCCAGACCAGCTTGACTGGAAGCACGAATTCAGCATGAAGGGACAGAGGCTAAAAGAGCCGCCACTCAGGGCTCAGGGTGCATGTCAGCAGCTCATTGCTCCGGCTACATATTGCCTTGAGTCAACAGATTTCTTCTAAAATGCAAGTATTAGAAGCATCCCAGATTGGCAGAGGTTTTCTTTTAGAGAAAAGGATACAGAAAGAGAAAGCTAGAACCCCCGGGACAAATTTTATCATTCGTCTCGTACCAGCCCATGGAAGAGCTCTGTAACAGCCACCGCTCTCTAAAGATGGGGCCAGGGAATTAAATCCTAAGTCAAAAGGAATATAATGTAGGGGTTGGCAATAAAAAATAAACCAAAAAAAAAAAAAAATAGGCTATGCATAGGACTCGGCTTTGAATTTTAGTGCAGCTGTGTATAAGCTGTGCGACCTTGTTTAAGTTATTTAGCTAGGTTGTGGATTGATTTCTTCATCGATAAGGTGGGGGTGAGAATATCTACCATGAGACTGAGAGTAAGGATTAGGGGCGCCTGGGTGGCTCAGTCAGTTAAGCATCCGACTTCAGCTCAGGTTGTGGTCTCACCGTTTGTGAGTTCGAGCCACGCATCAGGCTCTGTGTTGACAGCTCAGAGCCTGGAGCCTGCTTCCTCTCTCTCTGCCCCTCCCCGGCTTGCTCTCCCTCCCTCTCTCTCAAAAATAAGTAAACGTTAATAAAAAAGGTAAGGATTAAATGGACATACATAACACACGCAGACTACAGCGTTAATAAACGTTAGCGGCTATCACTGGATATTCTCAAGTTCTCCAGTGTCTTGCCCTTCAAAGTGTGGTCCTTGGACCAGCAGCCAACAACATGTTGCCAGCAATGCAGAATCCCAGGCCCCATCCCAGACCTGCTGAATCAGAATCTGTTTCAACAACATACATACATTAAATTTTGAGGAATGCTGACTACTTAGCATTCACTTCTTTCTACATTCCACACTCACCCCTCGAGGGGGGGGGGCGGCGCTGGGAGGGGCGTCTAAATGAATGGTAGAGTCTTTGGCTAGGATCCCCCGTTTGCCAGAACACTACTCAGCAGCGGAGGTCATCAGGCTGGCTATTTAATGAGTTTTATGATACATTAAATCTTCTAGACCTCACGGCAATTTGACCATTAAAGAAATAACTTTTTTGAAGGTAGCCCAAAACAAGCCAACTCAAGCGAATAATGGGATTAGCGTGGTGATGTTGAAATCAGGGTTGTACCACGTGAGTCCCTCTCCATCAATCACGACTGCTGTCCTCACGGCTGATTATGGCACATTGTTTCATCAAATTAAACACCAAAGGGATGTTGTAAAGGCAGCATATGGTCCTCTTTCAGAAGTAGTTAGCCTGGCATTGCACAAGCGGCCTCATCCTGGCTCTCCCGAAAACTTCGACATCAACACATTGAGGGTATTTGCTTTGGCAAAACAACGTCTCATAAAAGTGGTTGCTTTTAATTGCGGGCTTGCTGTTGTCGGAAGCACGGCCAGGACGGGTGAGATGGGAAGGAGCAACGGAATCAGGTTAGGAGGGGGAAATCAACTGTCCACCTTTTCCTAGGAGGCAAGGGGAGGTGTCTAGGCGGTACCTGT